TGCTCCGTAACATTTTTATGAATTTTTACAAGGCATGGATGTGACAACGTGATAGTTGCAACAAACATCTTCCCAAATTCGTAATAAGAATCATTTATAAACCTGCTGTTGTCAACAAAAAGAAGCACTGAGGTCTTCCTGTGGGTTTCTGCCAAAATAAAAGCTGAGAAAAAGCAAGAACTCCTTCAACATTCATAAACATTAGTATTGTAATTTTACTGTTGTTCTGTAAAATAAAAATAAAAAAGTAAGACAATAATAATGATAATAATAATTACAACAGCTCTATTAATACATGATAACATTCACACAGTGTTCAAATTGGGATCTGTAATATTTTCTAACGTTTTAAAATAAGTTTCTTCTGCTCAGGAAGGCTGCATTTATTTGTACAGTAAAAAAAATACAAAAACAGTAATCTTGTGCAATATTTTTACTATTTAAAATAACTGCTTTTTATGTGAATATGTGTTAAGCTGTAATGTATTTCTGTGATGCGCAGCTGTATTTTCAGCATCATTACTCCAGTCTTCAGTGTAATAGTGATGTAGACATGTGGGGGCGTGTTAGAACGAGCTGTTTTAGGCAGGCGTGGCTGACTCTGAACTTTTATAAAGAATATCTCTTTGGATTTGAGACTTTAGTCTTTGCAACTTTACAGATCTTCTTTATGCACCAAGAGCTTGTAACACTCCAAAGAGAAAGGAACAATTGAAATGCATCATATGACCCCTTTAAAGAGACAGCAACCTAAATAAACCTGCTGCTGTCTGTCATTAATGTTTATTTATACATTGAAACCAACCAGTGCTATTTTTAAAGTTAAATAGATTATTCCGTTTCTGAGGTATTTCTGTACCTGAACTTTACTGTTATACCTGAAAAACTTAAAACACAGTTAATTTTAGTTGTATCTTGTTATTGTATTTGTTTGTGCCATTGCTTATCATTTATATATTCTTATTTTATTACTGACTGTTAACTTGTATTTTTTAGTTAAAGTTAATTCAATTCAGAGTTTAAAATCAAAGTTCTATTTAAGTATCTTCCTCGCAATATAAATATGAATCAACAACATTATACATTGAAAAACACAAATACACTGGATGACAAAACCCAGTGGATGATTGTAGTTTAAAAATATGTCTAAAAAATACCCTAACTCCCCTTCAAATAAAAAATCCCCCCCATAAGAGCCACCTAAAGAGGGAATTTTATATATACATATATATATATATATCTTTTTTTTTTAACTACGCATTTTGGGCTGGTATTTTTTTTAAATGGGCGGGTTTTACGCTGTAGTTGGGCTGGAGATCTTTAATCCAATCTGGCAACACTGAATGCACAATCATTCCTAAATGAAACACTGCTGTGTTTGCTCGGAGACTGAAATGTTTTGTTGAACTGTAGTTACACGGGATTCAAACCGGAGCTTTTCACCTCTCAGGTACACCTCTGTACTCCGTGAGCTACCGAACAAACCTATTGTCTATGAAAACCCATTGATATGAAGCTGGATATGTGCGGTGCTAACAACCAAAAGCGTCAGTTTTCAAATCTCCCAGCATATTAAAAATGTTTTGAAGTCACAACATAATACTCCTCAAGTAATTGTGCGAAAATTACGCTTTATTAATCGAAACTCTGTAAATCATACTCTGTGTGAAAATAATTTAAAAGGTGTCGGAGTTTTACTGCCTCTAGTGTTCATTTTTTTTGGAAACGGCAGTGATATGTACTTATTGGTACGTATTTCGCGTCTTGCAAAAATGTGCCCCCAGATACGTATTTGCAATGAGACCGGGTAGATTTTTTGGGAGTATCTGTACTTTACTTGAGTTTTTATATTCCAGCCAACTTGTACTTTTACTCCACTACATTTCCTAATTAAAATGTATACTTTTACTCCGATACATTTCCCGAAATGTCCACTGAGTGGCGCTAAAACACGGGTTCAATACGTCAACCCTGGCACGTTTTTATTACGTTGATATAGGTACGTATTGCTGTGTTTTTATTGCGTTTCTTCAGGTACGTATTGCGGCGATTCAGAATTCAAATATCCGGGGACTGTCGCTAAAAGTTCATGCTCTGTCTGTTGGAAATATGCCCTACACCAAACCCAACCCTAAACCTACCGATAGTGTTAACAAACGCAAAACTGATATAAAAAAACACATTTTTTGATACAACCGTGCCATTTTAACTTTCTTATATGCAGATCTGAGAGCTTTTCACCTCTCAAGTACACCTCTGTACTCCGTGAGCTACCGAACAAACCTATTGTCTATGAAAACCCATTGATATGAAGCTGGATATGTGCGGTGCTAACAATCAAAAGCATCAGTTTTCAAATCTCCCAGCATATACAAGTTAGACTCATAAAACACCTTTGCTCAGGAGCAAACAAGTGCGCGCACAACCACGGATGATTCATTTCCCTCACAGGTCGAGTCTGGGGTCTGCGATCAGGGGTGGTTTAATGTGGTCAGGGGCCCCTAGGCTGCTCTTTGTGTGAGGCCCCCTTTAATCATTGCTTTACTGGAGAAATGTATTTAGTGCCATACATGGTCCACATGCAGATAGTAAGGTGAACTGGCATACACACACACACACACACACATACACACACACACACACA